TACAGTGAGATATCAAAGGAATTACTAAATACCTTCGTAATATAGACACATTGCTATTATTGAAAATTATTATTAATTGTAATTATTATACTAGTAGGGTACATGGAATAGCGCATTGAGGCAAATTGTTGGAAAAAATCAATCACGTGTATAATGGACGCCCCCTAACTATAGACTTTTGAATCTTTAGAATTACTAACACTTTTCACAAATGCACACAAATATTTTACATGATTTGAATTACAATATTATCAAAAATACAAAATTCTCAAGTGCTAATAATAATAATTTGATACGTAGTTTAATAATCACTTGTTCATATATGCTGGTATGTGGATTACAAGATAGTTAAGCTTAGAATATAATAACCAGAAAGCTTAGTGGGTGAAATACAATCTTGTTGTAGAACTAATGCCGGAAATTTTGCTTAAGGGCACAGAACATCATTGACCTGTATAACTAATTAATAAAGGTAATATTAAGGAAACTATGTTACAAGATTAGAGGTGATATTAAGAATATAAAGCTACCCTATGATATCAGAAGATTTTGTATGTTGAATAATTCAAAAAACATTTTACTTGTATTGACAAGATGAAGAACTGACTAAATTTTTGGGAAGGCGGGTCCAGCGGTTATGGACTCTCAATAAAAATAAGTTAAAAAAATGTCATTTGGCGGTCAAAAATGTTTATTGGACATTTGCACATCAAATTATCAGATATTTTATAGAGATTTTAATAACATGTACACATTTTGTGTATTTTTTTTTTTTGGTTCCGTACCAAGATTTTTAATTACTGTACGGGAAGTTACAGCAATTTGCCTTAAGGCACGACGCCATGCACTCCACTAGTTTAGCTTCTGAATTGCCAAGATTATTTGGTTTTGATGATGTCAGTTATTTAGATTTTTATGTGTATTCAAGTACATAATACTGAATGTGTGTATATCTATATATACTTTTATGCGTGTTACAAAAGTAATGATACATTACAGCAGCGGTCATCGCTTTATAACCGTTCTTTAATTCACTTCAATACACCTTTACCGACAATAACATATGTGCAAATATATATATATATATATATATATAACATATTTTGCAAACAATATGCTGCCTCCCATTCATCATAATAAATTTTATATTATTAAAATTCACTCTTGAAAATGATTCAATGTTTCATATTGTTTCATCATACTTATTAAATTTTATGTGCATATATATATATATATATATATATATATATGTTTAATTTGAGTTTAAAATTCGGGCGTAACATCAATCAAAATAGTATGAGAGTTTTTTTTTTAAGTTTATTTATTTAAAATCCATTCGTTTCGGCTAGCATCTTAGCCATCATTCAGTGGTAATCAAATTAAAATTTTGTTTCCTAATATAGCATATGAAACCATCATTAATCCGTGGTATGAGTATGTGCATATTAATAAAATATACATTTTTTAACATCACAAATGGTAAAACACACTAATAACCATGATAACTTAACAAGTTGTCGAAACTATGTATTTACTCTTCGGAGTTTAAGATAGAAATGACGCATTTTTTCTTGAAGCAGTTTTCAGCATGTGTTCAAATTTTATAGGAAATTTAAAAAGCGATGGGATCTTGTCATGTTTTAAGAAATTTTGACACGCTATTAAGAAACCATGTGTTTGTTTCGTTCAGGGTTTGTTTCCGTATTATCGAAGCGTTTGTTTATGACCCTGTCTTTATGCAATTGCAAAAACTTTTTCTATCTTAAACTCCGAAGAGTAAATATATAGTTTCGACAACTTGTTAAGTTATCATGGTTATTAGTGTGTTTTACCATTTGTAAAATTGAAACAATAATAATCATTTAATATGTCTATTTATTTATAATAAAAAATAGTTGTTACTAATAGTTCATGAAGAAGAGGATACCGCATATCCTCGAAAAGTTGAATAAAATAATTGAAAAAAAAAATTAAATAAATAAAAATTACTAAAAAATTAGGTTTTAGCAGTTTAAAAATCATAATTAATGATGCAGAAAACATAAACAATAATAATATAAATAATAATGAGTATTATTAGATTTGTGAAATAAATGGTAGTAATACTTGCAGATTTATTTTTAGCAATTATTTTTTTACAATCGTAGAACCTTCGATTTTGACACCGCGATATTAAAAAATCATAGTAGACATGTATTAAATAATCAAAAATTGAATTTTATAAGGAAAACCCAGTTTTAAATTCAGCTCATGTAAAATATATATCTCGATGAATGATGAAAGGTATAACTAGTAGCATTACAATATTAATATTTAAATTTGTTATTATTAAAATTTTGATATTAGTGTTTTTGCTATAAATGTGAATAAACATCAAGCAACGTTGCGCAAATTATATTCCATTTATTATAAAAAAAATATTATATTAATAACTTTGAGCAAATTATATTTCATGCGATATAATAAATATTATATTAATATTTTTATATTGACAATCTCAAAATCCTTATAACTTCCAACAAAAGTAATTTCTTTTACAATGATTTTTAACCATCTTTTCTTTTTCTCCAGGTTACTACCAGCCGGCTGGACCGCTGATAACTAGCAGCCACCACGCTACTGCAGCCAACCATTTCCATCATCACCATCATCACCAAAGTCAACAGCAGCATTTGATGGTTCAACAATCGCCAACCAACATGCAGCCAATTGAACCATCTCTGCAACCGAATCCACAACCATTGGATCAAACTGTGAAGAAGTTGAGTGAAGATAGTCAAGAAGTGGTGTACCATAGGACCACGGCGCCTTTGCCAGCACAATATGCTCAACAGGTAAGAAGTCTTATTTTTTTAATTTACAGAGGGCCAATTTTGTCCAAAATTTTGGTTTTTGTCCAAAAACCGACTAGCTAATCTGATTGTAGTTATAAACATTTTGGAAGTATTTTCTCCACAGTCTGGACACAGTCAGTGTTGATTTTATGGTTTTAATAGACCTACGAAGACTAGAAACTACGAATAATATAGAAATAATTTCTAATCAATAAACTTACGTTTAGTACACGGCACAAATGTTTAATTTTTTTTTATTATTTTTAAGGAACAGGGTAAAATATTCTTCTGATTCAGGTATTTTTCATTAAATCAAGATTTGTACTACGATGTAACTTTAAAATGTTTATTTATGCTGATTTCGTTGTTGATATCGGTACGCATACAACGACAGATCTCTATTCGCATACACGACGACTAATCACAATCGACCCGTATAGAAATGATCTCATCGAGAGCGAATGGCGAACAGTTCGGGCGTAACGCAATTTCCGTTGCATTTGTACGGATTAACACCCTCGTCGCGCCTAAAGAAGTTTTACTTCAAAATATCTTTAGTGGAAGTATTATACTCTTTCCATAAAAGTATATTCGCTTATTTTCTAAGAAAAAAAAAAACTTGATCGTAATCTGTATCCTATCTCTAGTAATTAATTTGACATTTGAATAGTTTGATTTATCCATAGTAATGAATATTTTTTTAATAAAAATGGATTTTAATCTAAATTTTTAAAATGTTTCTAAGCACTTCAGTTTAACTTTCTCATATTGTTAAAAATCATTATAATTATTTTCTGAGGATACCTAAATGTTTAAAACAGCATGGCAACATACAATTTGTTATTCAAATTTTTTAATGAAATCGATTACGCTATAAAAGGTTAAAATGTAATTTTAAATGCAAATTTGTAATGATCTCATTTATTTGCTAGCTAATTTTATAAGTGTTTAAAAATTGCATAATTAATACAAAATTTACCACCAAGTGATCTTAGATAGTTAGCTGAATTTTATTACTTTTTAACTGATACTATTTAGTGCCTTTGAAAAAATATTACACAAATATGGTTTAAATTAATATTTAATTTAAAGGCTTTATAAATACTGGTTATCAATTGTCATACTAATTTCAAAAAGGTATATTTTTTTAAAAGAATGCTACTCCTAAAATGCAAAGTTTTGCGAATGTTCTATGAATATGTGGCCTTTTATTTAGTTGGTAATTTATTATTACTCGAGAAGCACATAAATACTACATAGATTAATATTTAATCGATAAATTTTATGATTACACATAACGAATAATTTGCATGCATGCTAAATGAAGGTAGATTTGTGGTTAGAATGACATAATTCAAAGCAATCTCTAGGGGATTTTATTTCGAGTATTGAAGTTTTTTTTATAATGACGATTGTAATAAAGAATGGACAACAATAGATTTGTAATTATAAGACACTGTGCAAACATTTTCTTATGCACGATAAAATTCATTGTAAGTTCATGACTAGTGACTTCTTCACATTTTTCATCAATGACTCTTGTACTTCTCAATATTACTCAATACTAAATGCGTAAATTCTGGTATTATAATTATGCTCTATTTTCAACTTCAACAAGTCGATGAATAGTCATTACATCATAATATCATTTAAATCAAGAATAATCAGTCTAAATAGAGTAAACAGAATAATTGACTGTACTCATTACCAATCTTTTAGAATGGTAGTAATGCAGTACTTAAAGCATGTATTGATTTGCTTTCTTTCTTTTTTTAATATTTGATGAATCTTATTTCTAACGACTATCTTGTTTTTAGGTTTTACCTGCTCATTATTACCCACCTCCACCTCCTGGCGGTTATGGTGATCCTCAAGGAGCTCTCTGCTATGGTCCTGCTCAATATGGACATGCACAGGTTAATAATAATAAGAATATTAACTCGATAGACAAATTGATTGATATATATCTTTGAATCATTACTTTATAAAAGACAGATCTTTTTCAATTATTGCAATTTTATTACTTATCATTCGTAATAGATGTACAAAAATATAAATACTTATTTCATGGTAGATATATCCTTACTCCAATTGCAAAGTTAGATAGTATGCGATCGTTGATCGTCAAAATTACTCTATATTGCTTGTCTATTTCTTTGGTTATATAATTTATATATTATTCAAAATTCTATTACATTTAGGCGGTTGCTGCAGCCGCATATTACCATGCTGCACGCAAAGTCTATGCACCACCTTCACCATCACCATCAGGAGGCTCTTTAAATCCACCGCAACAAAATCCTCAGAACCTCCAAGTCGTCTCACAATCTGCAAATCTGCAAGCAGTTCCTGTTCCTGGTCACGACGCATTCAGAAGATACGTCGCTCCTCCTTATTATCCAGCCTATGCCGGAAGGTAAGTGGATGAGAAAAAATATATGGATGTTGTAACTATTGGACAAAATTATTTGACACATTTTTGTGTAATGTTATATGTATATTGTAATTCAAATGTCCCGCCATTACTATTAGTGATGTTGGCAATAGTGTTCCCCTACTATAACTAGGTATCCGCCATATATTTATGTTTATGTTAAAACTATGTAAAATAACTCTCTTTCTGCTGAACCGCGAACCAAGTAACATTTAAAATAAACTGAGTAATTTTAAGGAAGCATTTTTATTTTACCAGCTATTTTGGACTTGAAGTTATGGAAAATGATTTTATAATTTTAATATTGCTTCATTGTGGGTTCCAAGTGATACCCAAATGATAATTCGAATAATAATCTTTTCATAATAACCAGCTAACGAATAAATCTATAGTATCTTTTTGGCTTTATCAAGTATGTCAGGAAAAGTAAATCCAAAACTTAAAACTTAGTAAAATCATACATTCTTTTCATTTTATTTTATAGGATAACAATAACTTGAGGAAAATCAGATATAATCTTCTATATATAAAAATAAATCGGGTTTTCCTTCCTGACGAAATAACTCCAGAACGCACGAATTGATTTCGACAATTTTGCATTCGTTGGAAAGGTCGCGGGCTCCGTAAGGTTTATAGCAAAGAAAATTGAAGGAAAATTTCAACAGAAAAGCGGAAAACACTTTTTCTTTTTTCACATACGGCGTCATCTCTGATACTTAGCATGTACTAGAAACTAATATTTGCTGTTTGACTGCAACTCATTTGTTTGACAGCTACTCATTGTTCTCTGCTCAGTTAATTTCATGTGACAAACCGGCATTGTGTTCACTGTGAAATTGTGCAAAAAAAAAAGTTATTTGTTTCCTAACATTTCAATTGGAAACCATCAAATCAATAACGTGTATTGTGCAATTTTTATTCAATTTCAACAGCAGACAATTTTTTTCTTCATCTTTTAATCACCAAAAGAAATGTTACATAAAATGAAACCATCTGGTGGTGAAACGGAGTTCGCCCGGTTTGCTAGTTCTTAATATATATTTACTTTGTTGCTTACTGTATTAAAGAAATAAAAAAATATTTTAACTTCTGTTACTTCTGTTTGATCTCCAAATATAATTCATGCGGCAATTACTCATACTGTTATTCAGTAACAACGAAAAATTATTTAGAGACATGTTAAATTTAAATATTTTAGGTTGTATGTCTGGTCTTCTTAAAAATGCAAACTAAGAATGAAAATCTTCAACTGAACCACAAAAGTTTTGTTAAAATTCAATTCCATTTCCAGTGGTTCTCCTGGTCCTAGTGTAGTAGAGTACGCACCTCCGCCTTCGGCAGGTGGAGGGTTACCTCCTCCTCCAGGAAGATTTTATCCACCTGCATACGGTGCCCCTACAGGACCACCTCAGTGTTATGGGCACCATCAAGGTCCACCTGGGCAACAAAGAGCACTTGCCTATATAGGTAAATTTGAAACTGAAACTTTGATTATATATTCGATAATTATATTCCAGTTTAACCAACGTCGTTAATAAGTAAAATATCAATTCATATAATAGGTTGTCAAATATCTCCCTTCCGCCTTTTTGTATTATAAACCAAGAGCAAAAAAGCGGAAGGGAGATATTTGACAACCTAATATAATATTGCTAGCTACCAATATAAAAAAATATAAAAAGGTATTTTTTTATATTATATACCTACATTACTGTAGTCATAAGTAGTAAGTACAGGGATCTGAAATCCGAAGCACAAGACAGGGAAGCTTGGAAGCAGAAGTTTGGAAAGAAAATACATAAAAAAGTGTCAACAGGGGGGGGGGATAGTGGTAATAGGGCTGATGGCCTGATGGACGGGGAAGAGAAAAGATATCATTGATTCGTGGTGGCTCTCACTCCATGGGCATGCCTTTGGGCAGACTACCATTTATTTATTACCGTAGTCGTGATCATTATCTAATTGAGCTTTGATTACTATATTTCTTTTTCACTATTCAACAGGGGATGACTGGAAAATTGGCCACATTGCGCCACATGCTATCCATGTTATTATTTATTGATTTTACTGATTTTTTTTCCAGAGCCCCCATATCAGACCCCTTGCCCGTGCCCGATGCAAACGTGCCAGTCAAAAAACGCGCATACTGGGCCCCTTATTGGTAGCGAGCTAGCCGCAGCTGACAAACTCAGTTCGACATTAACCACGAGTACAACCCAAATGACGTGCTTATCGTCGAGCTGTCAGAACAAAATGATCGAGGCGTCGACAAATCTGTCGATTTCGGCCTCTCAATCATCGACATTGTCAGTTTCGACATCGAGTTCGACGTCGACAAACGTCGACCTTACAGCTAGCGTCCGCGACAGCGATTTGAGCAATGCCAACAAGAAGATCCTCGGAGTAAAGGGCCCAGTCAAGAATCATTCCTTATTAAACAGCAGCAGTCAGAACGACGGAGGAGTCGTAGTGGATGGCGTTATAGGTAAGAGGAAAAAGAATCAATTAATTCATATAGTCCAATAATAAACCAGTCTTAAGGGGTTACTCCACTGTAGCAGCCAAAATAACGTATGTTTTAGCAATTTTTTTTCTGGCGGAAGGAAAAGTAATAAAATCCTGATATTATAGATAGTTATTTATTGGAAAAATAGCTCATAATTAACAGTGGTGTAACCCCTTAAGGGGGTATTCTAGTGTAAAGCGATGAATCTTAGGTCATGTTTAAAGTGTCGTAAAAGAAAGCAATGATTGTTTTTACTATCCATTTTTTTTACCACTTGTTTATTAATATTATTAAAATACAAAACAAAAATTAAAAAATAAAAAAGTTGAAAATTGTAAAAAATGGCGGCAAAAATAAAAAGATTATTAAAATACAATGATGTCGCAATCTCCTGAACTAGCGATGAGTAGAAAATTTTTTTTTACAATTTGGCGACTGTTTGAAAAAAAAGTGTTTTTTTTGCGAGTTTCTCGAATTTTTTAAAAATACTAAAAATTGGAAATTGGGGATAATCCTGGTTCAGGCTATAGATAGGTCTATAAACAAGACTCTCTGAACATTTCAAGTAAATAGGTCGATTAAAACTCGAGAAATCGTGTCAACAGTACTGAAAACGTCTGTTCTGAGAAAAACGAATTTAAAGTTCTGTGTGAAACCAAACCAGCACGTAGACCGAGTCAGTAAAATGCCTATATCTCCGAAAGTAATTCAAATTTTCAAAAACCTTCTCGTACCCATATTCTTAGATAGTTAAACTTTGAAAATATGAAATAAAAAAAACGATTTTTTTGAATTTCTACACCAGAATACCCCCTTAAGCGTTTGGACATAAATAACTTCTTTCACAAACTCCCGAAGAAGTTTGTTTTATTTCTATTCAACTTCAAAATACAATTTGATCATTTTGTTTTTTTTGTTTTTTGACGTCTCAAGTCATTCTTTATCGTTTGACACCAAAGTTGGAAAAAGTATTAGTGTGTATAGGCTAGCCAAAAATTTAACCGAACCATTTCTCTATAATTAGCAGATGGGGGGGTCCATTAATCACGAGATCGATTAATTAGGGATTTTTGGACCTCCCATTATACGTCTATCTTACGTTTATCTTTACGTTTCAAAGGTTTCTGAATATTTTGGCATACCTTAGCAAAAATGGATGTATGTGTGTGTGTGTGCGTGTGTGTGTGTGTTCTGATACAAATTTTCGTCGACGATTTCGGGAACACGGATGAAGCGATTTGAATAATTCAAAAAACATTCGATTCGTATTGATAAGGAGACGTGCTGATTAGTTTTTGGCGAACGCAGATCTAGCCGTTCAGAAGATATGAGGCAAAAAGTGCCAAAAACGGTAACTCAGTTTTTAAGAGAACGGAGCGTCCGATTTGAATAATTCAAAAAACATTTTACTTGTATTAACAAGATGAAGAACCGATCAAATCGGCGGTCAAAAATGATCATTAGACATATGCACATCAAATTATCAGATATTTTATAGAGATTTTAACAATAAGTATAAATTTTGTTTACATTCCTATGGGTTCCGTACCAATGTTTATCCGTTAGACGGCTGCGCGGCGCTTACGCGCTTCGATGTTTCGTCTCTATGCAGTTAAAGCAGTACGATTGCTTTGAAAAAAAGTTCAGAATTTCCAAAATATTTCAAAATAAATTTTTCTTCAAAAAGTCTTTTTTTTTCAAAAAAAAGTAAATTTTTGTCAAAAATTTATAGTTTCTCAAAAATCTAATTTTTTCAGAGTAAATTTTCAAAAATGTTAATCTTTTTTTAAAAAAAATAATTTTTGGTACGGAAAGTTCCTGCAATTTGCCTTAAGGCACGATGCCATGCGCCCCACTAGTTTATGATAACAAATTCAATAACTTCAATGACACTATATTATCTCCTCATCTAGCAACTTTGTTGAAGTCATATGTTATATAATATTAAAATGTAATTTCTTATAACAGATTCAATAACTTCATCGCATCAGCAGAGAGTTATGTGCTTCAAAAGCGAAAAGGGGGCGGAAGAACTTACAGGTGCAGTTCAACGTCCATCAGGAGTCCCACCAATGATGTTTCTACCTCTGGCTAATCCAGCGGCAATTAGACTGCAGTCTGATCCTGCCAAGGACCAAACCATATTGAATAATAATCTGCTGATGACTAACATAAAAGTATATAATATTTAGAAAACAAGGTACATGGTGATTTATTATGATCTTTAAATTTATTGTGTCTGATATTTTATAGGTGCAAAGTGACCAAGAAGTTGTGAAACCAAGAAAACCTCGAATAGGCAAATCAATGGTTCGAAACAATATGCTACTAGCTAACAATATCCTAATAACCGCTCAAGAACATCATCAAGCTGACATCACGAATATCATCCTAAATTCATCTCCTGCAAATCGACATCATTTGAAACATAACATAATTTCGGATATAGATAGTAAGTGTAATATTATCCAAAACGAAATAATTAGGGAGGACGAAAAAGAAGGCTTTGAAGAGTTGATAAAACACGAAATTTACGACGACACCGACATTGTAGCAACTGATTTGTCAATCAAGAAGTGCAACGACGTGATTAAACAAGATGTAGACACTGTTGGCAATGATGATGATGAAAAAAAATGCAATGATGTTGATGGTGTTAAAGTGTGCAAAAATAGTACAAATGAAAAGCCTAATCCTAAACAACGGAAGAAATCTTCACCTGAATCTGATAATGGGGATAAAAATCCTGAAGACGGTAAAGTGAAGCCTGTTAACCCAAAGCATCGTAAAAGGAATTTGAGCGAAGACAAAAGTGATTCCAAACGTAAAAAGTGTTCGGTGGAAGATAAAAATAATTGTTCCGAAATTGTAGAAAGGACAAAAACAGATTTATGTGCAAAGCAATCCAAACCAGTTTCAAATGACGAACGTGCCACAGTAGAGTTAGTAAAAAAAATTAATAGTGATATTGGTTGTTCTAAGAAATCTGCTAATAAACCTAAACCACGCGGAAAGTCATCAGTAGAAAATAACGATAAAGACTTAGAAAAACCCAAAATCAATAAAAAATCTTGTGCAAATGAAGAAGCTAAACCGAAAAAGTGTGATATCATTAAAAAGTCAACTAAATTAAGTGGTTACAAAAAATTAATAAGGACTATTCCCGATAAAACTAAAAACAAAACTAAACTCAAAAGATTGGTTAAAAACAAAAGTGAAGTGTTATCAAAACCTTTGCCCAAGAGATTACAATTGTTAAAAAGTAGTTTGAGCAGCGATGTTTCTAGTAGTGAATCCACTGTAGCTAAATCCAAAACTCCAAAAGAAGCCACACCAAAAACCGTTGCTAAAACAACTATCAAGCCTGCTGAACTATCAGAACCCATGTGCAATAATAACAATGAAGTACCAGCAGACAGTGATAAAAGTAAAATAAAATGTAAACCTATCGCGAAAAACAGGAAAGGTCGAACTAGCTTGTCGAAGAAACAAGATGTTTTGCTGGTTCCTAAGAGGAGTTTGTCGAATCCTAGGTGGAGTAACGGATGGAGCTGGGAAGGAGAACCTTTTAAAGGGAATGTATTCTTGAATGTAAGTTATATCTTATTTACTTACATTAAAATATTTATATATATTTAATTTAACTAAAGTTGAAGCTAAGTATTTCGTTTTGAAAGCGTAAGAATGGTGTCGTAGGAAAATAATAAATGATTTTGGAATATACTTTCATATATATATATATATATATATATATATATATCAATATATATATATATATATATATAAAAATAAGTCGGGTTTTCCTTCCTGACGAAATAACTCCAGAACGCACGAACCGATTTCGACAATTTTGCATTCGTTGGTCCGCAAGGTTTATAGCTAAGAAAATTAGTGGTGCATGGCATCGTGCCATTTAGAAAATCATTGTTTTTCACATGGGCAGTTACATGTTGCCTGCTCACGAGTTGGAAAACCATCCGCTTTGTTTGTGTTAACGTCAGACCAAAAAACAAAAAATGTGGTTTACCAAAGAGCACTTCAATGAAACGGATAATTTGCGAATTCACTTTTATTAACTTAGAGAAGTTCAACTAAAAAACACTTCATTTTTGTAATCGAAATAAATTCATTACTGTTGTGCAATAAAAACAATTTTTTTCTTTTTAAATATAAAACAAACAAAAAATTTCTTCATCTTTCTCAATAAACCATCTGGTGGCAAAACGGAGTTCGTCGGGTTTGCTAGTATATATATATATATATATATATATATATATATATATATATATATATTCAGTATGTGGAATTAAATTTCAATCATAATTATAACACAAACAGTAACTGGTTTTGTGAACAGCGATGGATAAACTGTTGTATGAGCTTTGACGATATATAAATTACTACAATTTCCTAAATTTCTGAAGCTGTTGATAAGTGGTATACATATTTTATGATATTTTAATAGGAGCTTTTATAATTTGCAGTACATGATACTCAAACCATTAAATGCTCTGGTCGATTTTATTCTTATACAAGTATTTATTATTTTAAACAAGGCACGTATTCCTAGTAGGGACTAGAGAAAATATTCTTTCACTTGTTCCATAAATTGGTTTGGAATTATTTTCATCATCTCAGGAAAAATTAAATGTCTATTTATAAATGTGTCATACTAACAACTAAGTTATAGTTATATTTAGAGTAGATAAGTGATCATAAAATATTTTACTAGTTCACAAGAGTCTGTAAAATATTTATTAGCTGTTAATAACATGCATCAATAAGTTTAAGCAATTAGTTTAGCTTTTAATATTGGATATTCGGGTCGTTTATTTTCTATGTGTTTCTTGTCACTGTTTATATTGGCATCCATCCAGCAAATTGAATAATGAGTACAAACAAATTCTAATATTACAAAGCTATCCTTAGTACAAAATTAAGTTAATAAGTATATGAAACTTTGAAAGAACTATTCAAAATATATAATGATAAATATTAAATTAAGTAATTATTACTGTGAACTCAACATCGGGTTTATAGTGATGATGATAATTTTATTTTATCTCAAATATTTTATACATCCAAATATAAGTTTACTTTATTCCTGCAATTCTTCGACTATAAAATAAAAGTGGGAATACGAAAGAAGTAAATATCTGATTCTATTCTTATGATAGCTTCTTATTCGATATATTATGAAGTCAATGCAAAGAATCTTATGATAAGCAAGTAGTAAAACAGGAAGAGTTTATCTGAGGATAGTTTTATTATTTTTTAGCAACTTTATTCCATTGGTTTCTCACTATTAAATAAGGAGCCTATCTTTAGATAAAATAGCTATGTTATGTTTTCATGATAACATAAATATAGTACATATATGTATATATATATATAATATTCTAGATTATTAAAATAATCATTACCACTACAAACCTGATGTTGATTTATAAGTTCAACGGCAGAGTATCTCTTATTTTCAACGTTCCATAATTTTCGGTACTAGTACTACTAATTAAAAGGTAATATTAAAACTCATTTTATTTTATTAATTGTTTTTTTTTACAGAGTGATGAACCACTAGTTTCCCGCACATGCTACCCTTGCATGAGACACGTAGAAGGAGATCGAGTGAGGCCGAGGGATTGTGTTTTGTTAAAATCAGGCCAAAGAAAAGTTGATCTACCGTTTGTTGCCAAAGTAGCTGCGTTGTGGGAAAATCCAGAAGACGGTGAGTTTCTTTATAATACACAGACTTATACTTTGTTATAAATTTCAAAATAATTTGGTCTTGGAACGTAGTAAGACATATGGAAGTTTTGATCTTTGGTCGATTAATGACATCTTCATTGTAGATACGCTTTTAATTATTTTTTTAAGTTATTAATATTTTTATTTTTAATTGACAATTTTTGAACAAGATCAAGACGTCAAAATAAACCTCCCTAACTGACAATATGGAACTATTGGATTCACCAAATTCAAAAATTGGAAAGTTTTGGGTGGAACTCGATGAGAACTTGTGTTGATTAGTTTTGCACGACAATCAACCGTTTATCAACTCGTTTATTAAGCCTTCTTTGTATGAGTTTTTTTTATTTTAATAAAATAAATCAGGGTGATGTAATTAATGCTCTAGATTAAAGGAATAATATTTTAAAAATCCTAATGTAAATAGAAGTATATGCATTATGTAAAAAAAAAATATGATGGAAATTTGCATCATCATGCATTGCCACATGTCTAGCTCAGAACTATATAAAATATATTGTTTACTCAATCTTCTTTACTCTTTATAATAATTTAAAACACGATCATTATTTTTATTAAAGCACAAATTGATACCACTTTTACTGAATTGGCCCATTGTAAGCATATTCTTTTTAAGGTAACTTCTTTCTTGAGCATTTATTATGAACATTCCAAGAGTTTATAATAGCTCGATCAAATAGATAAGAAAAATATGCAAATACCACATTTTAGACCTCTTTGTTATAAGGTTTTTGCCCAAAAAGCTGTCCATGAGATCTACTTCTCCTATATGTTTATTGTTCGAACTTTGGCGACCAGTATGATCTTGTGCTAGGAATTTTGATTACTGACATGTAGAATAATGTTTCTTAAAAAAACAACACAAAAAAAACATTTACAAAAAAGTCTTTACGTGATGTAAATTTCCATCAAATAGTTTTGAGAACTTTAAGAAGTCACACTGATATAAATTAATATATATACTGGTATAAAAACCTAAATTAATTTATACATTAGACAAAAAGATAACACAAAAGCTTTCTGGAAACCATAGCAAACAGATAAGATTCCAAATGCTATTGAACCGATATGATTCCAAGGATCAGAACGCTTGCATCTATCTTGTATATTTGGCTATATTTGGCATTTTGCATTTATACAGTAAAAACCTACTTTTTCTATTAAAATTTCGAATTCCAAAATTTTTGCCAAAAAACGGTTTTTGAAAACCAACAAACCCTAGTAAATATGTATTGGATGTTTCATTATTTTTGACCAATAGATGCAAATCACTTAAAAGTAATGGCTTTAATAAGTTCAGAAGAAAAGAAGAACTTTCTATCTAGACCCAAATTTATAAATAAACAACGCAAACCACATACTCATGTCCCCAACTGCTTTCTTTAGTTCTTGCCCTCTTATTTCTGTACACATATTGTAATATAATTATATTACAAAATGTGTACAGAAATAAGAGGGCAAGAACTAAAGAAGGCAGTTGGGGACACGAGTATGTGGTTTGCATTGTTTATTTATACTATTATAATATAATAGTGAAAGCTTATTAGTTTAAGTTTCAATTACTTGTTTTTGTGAATTTTATAATGTAACTTATATTTCTCTAGGTGAAATGATGATGTCCTTATTATGGTACTACCGAGCTGAACACACTGAGCAAGGTAACCATTACTATCAAAACCACAAGGATGAGGTGTTCGCATCTAGACATAAGGACACGAACAGTGTCGCCTGCATTGAAGATAAATGCTATGTACTCACATTTAACGAATACTGCAGGTAAGATTATTCAATATTTAACAAAAAAAAATTGAGGTAGATGTAAATTAGTATTTAATTAAAATGCAGTCCATGAATATTCTAATATACATTTAGTCCAGTCATTTGGTCATTTTGCCGGTACAGTACTCCGAGAATTCTGAAAATTGGTAATCTTATAGATTTCGAGGTGCTCTTTACGAAAATCAACTTTGCCACCTCAAATTTGAACGGCAAGTTGCGGCCATATTGGAAAAACGGCGTCAAGAAACAGCTTTATTAAAATATCTCCTTTCTGGCTCATTCTACGATAAAAGTATCTATGTACGAATTAAACTAGATAAAATTTCCTATAATTCCTTAGAAAACCGTTTTTTTGTAAAATTGTTAGTTTGAGAGTACGGCCGCCTCAAAGTCTTTGCTGCTCTTGCCGTATTATCAAATCTCTCCATATATGACAGCACTTTGAACTTGGCCACATTCTCTCTAATAAATAAATATTTTCAATGTTAAATTAAGCGAATAAGATCTAGAAATAAAATAATTGGTTTAACAAAATAAAAGATATTGAATAAATTATAGAAAGCTTTCTCTAGTTTAATTTTGTTTATAGCTACTTTGCTGTTGAAGCTATGTTAAAAAAACAGCAAAAGACAAAAATATTTGAATTATTTTATTTCCTGATCTTATTCTCTTAATTTAACATTGAAAATATTTAAAAAGCGAAAGTAGAAATTCAGATTGTATGATTGGTCAAGTTTGGTAAATAAGCACCAGTTTCATCTGAAACGATTTCCACGATTTCTCATCTTCGATTGAGACAATTTACTTGAATATTATCCAGAGTCTCTTTTAAAGACTTCTCTTCAGTAGAATAACTAAGCTCATCCCTGAATTATGATTTTTACTATTTAAAAAAAAATCAAGAATATCAAAAATAGTTATAAAAAAATGTTCTTTTTGTTAGAAAAAATAATTTATTTGTCCATAGTTTTTACAATTACGATATAATTCCAGATTGTTAATATTTTATCTTTTTTATAAAATTATTAGAGACCCTCCACATCATCACCTGCTAGAATTAAAACTTGTACATTGCTTTTAATTTGCATTCTTTTTCTATATTTTTAAAACATTAATAAATAACTTATTTAAAAAAAGGATATCAAAGTATTGTTTTTTTTTGGTCTTCTAAAAACCATATAAAATTTTTGCCTTTGGACTAGAATTTAGATTTCAAAGAATTATATATTTTTTACCCTCATATTTCTGTATAGGTACCGAAGGCACCTGAAAGCTATGGAAGAAGGTATAGAACCCAAAAATACACTGGTACCTTTAAGTTCTATGACAAATTCTCAAGAATCTGGTTCTGAACAACCTAAACAACAAACAACAACAAATCAAATATCACATACTGATATGACAACGTTGTTAAACACATCTCCCGAATTGGTTTTGTTCTGTAGAAAAGTTTACGACTTTAGGCAGAAGCGAATCATGAAAAATCCAAGCTAAGATGGAAAAAAACAGAGAGAAATTATATTTATTAAAGACTTATATATTCTGCAAAGATTTGTAGAATAGAATTAATTAAAACAGACTGTTCGTTCAATGTAGAAATCGATTAAAGGATGAATTGATGATGATGTCACAATAAATATAAGTAATATAAAAGAAGAGTGTATATTTATATAAGAATGAAAAATTTGTTCACATTTTGATGCAATTGGATATTTCTATAATACCTGCAAATAATTTGGACATTTTAGAAATGACTAGAAAAGTCATATTTTAAAATATCAATTTATAATTGATTAGAAAAGTGTAAAATTCAGATCTATTTATCTGAATAAGATTGTGCGATATTTTTATAGAAGATTATTTTAAGATTACTATATCAATTATAAAAATATAGATTTATGGAAACTAAGCATACGAGAAATTGGCAAGATTCTAAAATAGTAGATGTTATTATAAACAACATAAAATAAATTAAAATCTATTTTATCATGTCACAAATTGCATTAAAATATTGATAAGATTAATGGTTATTCAAATTTAAAAATAATATCATATTTCACATAACTTCTGAATTTATGAAAGAAAAAATGTGTCATTTCCCACATTTATAATATATTAAGAGATCTGAATGAAAAACATTATCATACGAAAGTTAAGATAATTAAATATAAGTTTTATTCAAGTCAAGGAAAATTTACTACATTGAATAAATGCTAGAAAAAATCCATTATCTCGAAACCTGGATATTTGAAAATGGATTTTGATGAACAGTTGTGATAAACCAGACAAAGAATTCTTAATTAATTTAAAGAATAAGAATTTTCAAAATAAAGAACTATTAATATAATGAAGACTAAGCATAGGATATCTTCAAATTGAAAATTCGAAGATGGAAAAACGGAGAAAAGCTGAAAAATCGGGTATGTTTTTTCTAAAGTATTACTTAATTTTATACTTGCATATTCGGGGTCGCATTTGGAAGCCTTAAAATCTCCCAAAATAACGCGATATTTTTTTGATAAAGGGAGATACTTTTAGTAATAAGATAAAATATATAGTATTAAATTTAATACTTATTTAACAAGGTATTCAGAATAAAAATTAGGTGTAAATGCGGCCCTGAGTGTTATCACTTTATACGATGAACAAAGTGTTCCTTTAGCACTTTAATGATGGTGACAAATATCAAAGAAAATTGTTTTTTTTTTGTTTTCATCTAAAAATTAATAAAGTTATACTAATCACATATAATATATTCAATTAACATATGATATACATATATAATATATTTTAAAAATATTAATATATTAGATGAAAAATAGTCTTAGGGTTATTTCTAACAAGTTTTAAACATTGTTGATAATAGATATTAGTTAAGTGGAAGGCAAATATATATATACATACATATATATATATATATATATATATATATATATATGTATATATATATTTGCATCCTATTTTTAATAAATCTCTGATGACATTTAAATATATCAGTTGTTATTTGTCAATATCATTAGTATATTATTTTGAATTTGAATTAATGCATCAATTTTGAGTGAAGGTAAAAGCATATTTTTTTATTTTGGTATCATTTATCTATACATTTTAGATTTATCTATTTATATTCCAGGGCCCGATTATTTTATAAAATGCGTTTATGAATGTGAGGTGGCAATTTAAATTGTAAATATAATGCAAGTTTGATTTACTAATATACTTACAATAATTACAAATTCAATTTATACAATACATACATGCATTCATTCTTCGTGTTGATATTTACATTTTATAATATATTATTGCTTGGTCATATTTTTAACATTTGCTCTTTAACGACTTACTTATTCAATAGATTCAATTCTTCTTTTATTAATTATTTAATTAATTAAGTAAGTGAATTATTGTTGAATTGAAGTGCAATTGATAGTTAATTTAAAATATTTTAGTTGAAAATTTAAACATTGATGTATTAATTAAATCAATGGGTTATAAATGATATATTGATGTTATTGGTAAAATAACAACAAGTTAAATATATAATATTTGATAGTTACATAAAATGTTTTTTGATTTTTACATAATTTCTACAAACAATTATAATTCCTTTTAAAATACTGAAAGTTAAGTTTGGGCATTAATTTATTTGATTTATTAATTTATTTTATAAAATATTTATAAAATAATGCAAAAAATATTTTTCATTAAATTGTTTTATGCCGAAAATGATACTGATACATTTTTAATACAGAATTTGAATTATTTAGAATTTTAATAGATATATATATATATAATTTTATAATAAACATTTATGGGCCAGTCATTAAAAAAAAAAATCTGTTTGTTGAACTAATAACTCAAATGTTTCATATATATCAGTATTATGATATTTCAATTCAATTTGATTATATATATATATATATATATATATATATATACATGCTGGTGTAAATATGTATGCATATATTTCTACATAAATTTGTATAACGATAAAGATTGCAGGATATACTAACTGCATATAAATTGATATAGTTTTGTTCAATATAGTTTTACCGTAAAACTTCTTTATATATGTTTGCATATTTACACATTATATATATACACACATATATATATATAATTATATATATATATATATATATATATATATATATATATATTAGGGTGGTCCTTAAAATGGTCATTGTCGATTTTCCTTGCTCCCAGGGGCTCAAATGGTTCCAAATTGATAAAAAACAATTCTCTGAAAGTTTTAGCTCTTAATATTAACGTTTAGATAGAGCGCAATTCAATCGAAGTTTGTATGGAAAGAGCATGGAAAAAATTTTGAAAATTTAAAAAAAATGTGTTAGGTATAACTTAGCGACAAATGAATGAGTTTTATTCATTCATTTATTCGCTAAATTACATCTAAAAAACATTTTTACAATTTTAGAAAAATTTTCCATGCTATTTCCATACAAAACTTTTATTGAATTGCGCTCTATCTAAACGTTAATATTAAGAGCTAAAACTTTCAGAGAATTGTTTTTTATCAATTTGGAACCATTTGAGCCCCTGGGAGCAAGGAAATTCGAAAATGACCATTTTAAGGACCACCCTAATATATATATATATCCATATATATCTTACAATATCCATGAATCGATGACCAATCTTTAACAAACTTCTGTAGATTTATCATAGTCGATAGGAATAGTATTTTATAGTGACTGTAAGTACATGTCTTCTAAATTATGTAAACTTTACGACACTAGCAAATCTTCATTTTTTTCTCTTATGCCATAAACTAATTGTCGATAATTGAAAAAAACATTTTATAATTTGATATCATGAGAAAGAATTTGAAAAAAAAAAACTTTTCAGTGTTAGAACATATTGAGTTTCAATGTACAACCAAGAGCTTTGGTCAAACTGGTTATAATAACTCTTGGTTATTATGGTCAACTTTTATCATTTTTGTTTATTTAAACCATTACCATTGCAGTTTTGTACAAGTAAACTTGCATTAATATTTTTTCCATCATTGATTTTTATTAAATTATTGTATTTTTTTCATAAGAGGAAGAAATCAAGAGAGCATTCACCTGGCATTCCCTTTTTCCCAAAGAGAGTTTTGCTGTATAAATTTACTTATGCTACAACAATATTTATATATAAATACAATATAGAGAATAAAACTTAATTATTAGATTAACATAAAGAAAAGAAATACTACTGTTCGCATAAAACGATATTTTTATAACAATAAAGTAAAACTATGAGATGACAATGTCGATGGATTCGCGTCACACCCCCAAAACCCTTGTAGAGTTAATTATAAATGTAATTTTAAATGAAAAAAATCAAAGATATATACATGTAAATCTGTATGTTGTCGTTATATTATAAATAAGCATATTATTGTCTCATTTGCATATAAAGTATATTATTTTTATTTGTATAAAATGTTTTGTTTTAGATGTATTATATTTGTGAGTTGAGAATGAAGAGGATCATAAATTTGTACATTTTTTTGGTGTGTGCTTGTTTGTGCCCTATTATTTGTTGTGATGAATTGTTACCAAGGTTTTTCGATAATTAGAGAAAAAAATATTTAATAAATAATCATAATCAATCCTGATATTTCTGCAAATATGTACATATTGAAAGATTATTATTATTGGTAATTATCTTTCACATTGATAGAGAAACACTTTAAATTTCCTTGTTCACGAAATAGAGATACAAGGTCTGCATTCTTTATATAACATCATATCACTTATGAAAATATTTAAAGTAAAATTTTTTAGAAGATGAGTCTAAAGTCTTGGGTATTTTGGAGAAAACTTGATTAAATCTAATACAATTTTGACGCCATACTTGAAGCTTTTAACCCACAACGACGTACAAAATGACTTGATGACGAATAATTCTTAAAAAACTTGCATTGTCTCACACAAACAAAATTTGAATGAAGGTGAAGAATAATAAATTATTGCACTATTATCTTCATTTTTATACAGATTTATTTTATATATTTGTTTCTGAAACTAAAGAGAGTTTTTTAAGATTTGTCAACGCATTTTGTATGTTGATGCACTTAAAAGGTCATATTTTGGGTTGGAATCGTGTTTTCATTAATAAAAGTTCCTCCGAAATAATTTGTATTGTTGTTTTTTTGGATTGAGGAAGTGACTGAAAACTCATTCAAATTAATTTTTTAAAAATGTTGAACAATTTTATTTATTGTAATGAAATAATGAGTTTAAAAAGCAATATACTGATACATTTGTTAAAATTCTTTATTTAATCAATTCCTTCTTAAGATGAAAGAAATATAGTAATCGAAATGAAAATAGAAATTAATTAAATGAAGAAATATCTAGATATAACTACCTGGATTATTTTTCACCTTAACATTTCAATAAAATCTTTTAGCACTTTGAACATCGTACGTAAAGAGCAAATTATTTTAAAGCATAAATAAATAATGCAATTTATAATTATTTATTTATGGGTCTTAAGAATTTTAGCAGAAATATTCAGAAAATTTATATTATAAATCAGTAATCATAATTAATGTGGACATTTACATATTTGCAGAAAAAAATGTATTAGAGTATGATGATTGTAAACATGAACATTGAAAAACTGCCATCAAATCAGAAATTTTGTCTGTAGTGAATTAATTTTGTTTGAGACATTTTTCATATCAAGTTGAACTATTTTTTGAAAATAAATATTATATCATTTTTGTAATATAGAATTATATTAATTGCATATGCTCATTTTTGTAATTGAAAAGAATGTAATTGCTGTACCGAACGTTGCTGGTGAAATGTAATTGTAGTCATAGTAATAGATGCATAGTTTATTTATTCAAAATTTCTTAAATATCTTTATGTATTTATAAATATGATCACCGCAAATCAATAGATATGATAAATATGAACCGTAAATCAATTGTTATTTAATATAGTTTAGATTTTGGTTCTAAAATTTCGAATTTTCTTACAATTCAATTTTTTT